GGAGGGGGGAGAAGAAGGGGGGGACGGGTGGTGGTCGAGGAAGAGGAAGAAGAGGAGAGTAAAAAGGAAAGACAGAAGATGAGGCATGAAAGAACGAGACTGAGACATACAGGGTGACTGACTGACTGAATGACTGACTGACTGACTGACTGATTGATTGACTGATTGACTGACTGATTGACTGACTGACTGACATAGGCAGACAGAATCGGAAACAGAGGCGAGACAAGAGGCAGCCAAAGCCATTTTCAGCTGATCCTAAACCCCATTTAAACTTTGAAAACTTTGTCTCGTTTATCCGAAAGCCAGTTGATCGAAAGAAACTATTATTGTTAACATCATTATCATCATCATCATCCTTAATTTTTATTATTATTATAGCTATTAATGTTATCATCATCATCATCATTGTTATCCTTATTAATGTTATTACTGTTATACCTTTATTACTATTATTGTTGTTGGTGCTGCTTGTTATTCTTATTGTTATTATTATTATTATTATTATTATTATTATTATTATTATTATTATTATTATTATTATTATTATTATTATTATCATTATTATTATCATTATCATTATTATCATTATTATCCTCATCATCATAACTACTGATACTACAGCTACAACTAAAAATACAACTATATCTACAACTACTACAACAACAAAACAACAACTACTCCTACTGTCACTACAACTATTACTATAAATTCTACAACTACTACAACTACTACTACTACAAAGAATAAGGAAAATCAAGGAGAGAGAAAACCCCACGTAGACAGGTCAAAGGAAGAGAAAATACAAGAATAATGCATAGACGCCGGTGTCCCCAGGCGGAGGGAGCTATTAGGAGCTAGTGGTTATTTTACCTTTTCAGATTTTCGGGTTTCGTATATTTTTTTTTTTTTTTTTTTTTTTTTTTTTTTTTTTTTTTTTTTAAGAGCTGGGAAGAATTGGGAAGTGTGTGTAGTAGGGGGTGGGGGTTGGTTGGAGGAGGGGGTGGGGGGAGAGGGGTTAGGGGGGGCTTGTGTGTGTGTGTGTGTGTGTGTGTGTGTGTGTGTGTGTGTGTGTGTGTGTGTGTGTGTGTGTGTGTGTAGGGGCGGGAGTGGTTGGGGAGGGGAGGTTGTGTGTGAGGGGGGGGAGGCTAGGGGGATTGTGTGTGTAGGTGTGTGTGTGTGTGTATGTTTGTCTGTCTGAGTGTGTGTGTTTGTGTTTACTTCTGATTAGGCGCACGTATGTACATATGTACGTATATTTCATCGTGAGTTGTCTTTGTCTCTGTTGTATATATGCATAGATATATTTATTCCTATTATTTACGTAACATATAACGAGAAATCATATAAACGCATATACAACATATTACATAACTCCTGGAGAGTTACTTTCACTCGGTTACATGACAGAATATTATTTCCTAAAAAAAAAAAAGAAAAGTAATGCCTCCTCACTTTATACAGGAAATATAGTTACCGTTACAGCACTAACTTAGTAATGATGTCAAAGCAAAACTTGTTGACGAAGTTTGTGGTTGTTTTTGTTTGTGTTTTCTGTTTTTTTTGTTTGTTTGTTTGTTTGTTTTGTGTGTGTGTTTCTAGGTACTGGTTTGTAATCGAATCTTTCTTTACTTTTATGTTGATGAATGTGATAAGTAATAATGATTATGATGATGGTGATGATATGCTGATGATTTATGATGATGTGATGGTGATGATGTGATGATGATGATGATGATGTAGTGATGATATGATGATAAAGATGATGATGATGAGGAGGAGGAGGATGTGATGATGATATGATGATGATGATGATGATGATGTGCTGCTGCTGCTGATGATGATGATGATGTAGTGACGATATGATGATAAAGATGATGAGGAGGAGGAGGAGGAGGATGTGATGATGATATGATGATGATGGTGGTGGTGATGGTGATGTAATGATGATGCGTTGATAAGGATGAGGATGAGGATGATGATGATATTAATAATGATGCTATTAATAATACAAGTAAAGGAAAAAGAGCCGTTATTTCTAGAATAATAACAAGAGTATTATTAATGATAATGATAGTATCAATAATAGAAGTAATTATGATAATGATAATGATGGCAATAATATGTAACTATTTTCCCAATTGGCAACTAAAGTGTAATGGCTTATTTTAATTTTGTTTTCTTTTAGGACGGAAAAAAAATACTGATAGATTATGATGCTAATGGGAGAATTGCCAACGAGTAGATTTTGGTAGTTAACAAGGTTGGTATGCGAATATAGGACAAAATGGGTCTGATAGGAAATATACTCTCTCTCTCTCTCTCTCTCTCTCTCTCTCTCTCTCTCTCTCTCTCTCTCTCTCTCTCTCTCTCTCTCTCTCTTTCTCTGTGTGTGTGTGTGTGTGTGTGTGTGTGTGTGTGTGTGTGTGTGTGTGTGTGTGCGTGTGTGTTAGTGTATGTGTGTGTGTGTGTGTGTGTATGTATGTGTGTGTGTGCATGTGTGTGTGTGTGTGTGTGTGTGTGTGTGTGTGTGTGTGTGTGTGTGTGTGTGTGTGTGTGTTGTGTGTGTGTGTTTTCTCTCTCTCTCTCTCTCTCTCTCTCTCTCTCTCTCTCTCTCTCTCTCTCTCTCTCTCTCTCTCTCTCCTCTCTCTCTCTCTCCCTCTCTCTCTCTAAGACTATCCTACAGCGCACAGAAAGAAGCTTACGTACTCTAAGTACTTTCCAGTCTAAAATAAAAGGTCCACAGTGCAATAAAGATAGTTTAGAGAAAAGAAATACATGACTCGCAAATATAGCCAGGATATGCGAGATCAAAGAAAATCATATATACCTATTAGGGACCGAGAGGTTTAGATTACATGCTATTTTTAAAAGCTGGAGGCTGTGTGGCTTGTTGGTAAGAAAAAGTCAAAAAGAGAAAGAGAGGAAACTGTTTGCTTCTCTCTCTTTCTCACTCTCATTCGTGTGTTCTCTCTCGTTCTCTTTCTCTTTCTGACTTTTAATCGCGTATTCTTTCTTTATTTTTTTTCTTGACTGACTGATCGTCGTTGTTTCGCGTTGTTTCTTTTTTTTTTTTTGTTTTTTTTTTTTTTTTTTTTTTTTTAAGAGCTGGGAAGAATTGGAAGTGTGTGTAGTAGGGGGTGGGGGTTGGTTGGAGGAGGGGGTGGGGGGAGAGGGGTTAGGGGGGGCTTGTGTGTGTGTGTTGTGTGTGTGTGTGTGTGTGGTGTGTGTGTGTGTGTGTAGGGGCGGGAGTGGTTGGGGAGGGGAGGTTGTGTGTGAGGGGGGGGAGGCTAGGGGGGTTGTGTGTGTAGGTGTGTGTGTGTGTGTGTGTTGTGTGTGTCTGAGTGTGTGTGTTTGTGTTTACTTCTGATTAGGCGCACGTATGTACATATGTACGTATATATCATCGTCAGTTGTCTTTGCCTCTGTTGTATATATACATAAATATATTTATTCCTATTATTTACGTAACATATAACGAGAAATCATATAAACGCATATACAACATATTACATAACTCCTGGAGAGTTACTTTCACTCGGTTACATGACAGAATATTATTTCCTAAAAAAAAAAAAGAAAAGTAATGCCTCCTCACTTTATACAGGAAATATAGTTACCGTTACAGCACTAACTTAGTAATGATGTCAAAGCAAAACTTGTTGACGAAGTTTGTGGTTGTTTTTGTTTGTGTTTGTGTTTTCTGTTTTTTTGTTTGTTTGTTTGTTTGTTTTGTGTGTGTGTTTCTAGGTACTGGTTTGTAATCGAATCTTTCTTTACTTTTATGTTGATGAATGTGATAAGTAATAATGATTATGATGATGGTGATGATATGCTGATGATTTATGATGATGTGATGGTGATGATGTGATGATGATGATGATGATGTAGTGATGATATGATGATAAAGATGATGATGATGAGGAGGAGGAGGATGTGATGATGATATGATGATGATGATGATGATGATGTGCTGCTGCTGCTGATGATGATGATGATGTAGTGACGATATGATGATAAAGATGATGAGGAGGAGGAGGAGGAGGATGTGATGATGATATGATGATGATGGTGGTGGTGATGGTGATGTAATGATGATGCGTTGATAAGGATGAGGATGAGGATGATGATGATATTAATAATGATGCTATTAATAATACAAGTAAAGGAAAAAGAGCCGTTATTTCTAGAATAATAACAAGAGTATTATTAATGATAATGATAGTATCAATAATAGAAGTAATTATGATAATGATAATGATGGCAATAATATGTAACTATTTTCCCAATTGGCAACTAAAGTGTAATGGCTTATTTTAATTTTGTTTTCTTTTAGGACGGAAAAAAAATACTGATAGATTATGATGCTAATGGGAGAATTGCCAACGAGTAGATTTTGGTAGTTAACAAGGTTGGTATGCGAATATAGGACAAAATGGGTCTGATAGGAAATATACTCTCTCTCTCTCTCTCTAAGACTATCCTACAGCGCACAGAAAGAAGCTTACGTACTCTAAGTACTTTCCAGTCTAAAATAAAAGGTCCACAGTGCAATAAAGATAGTTTAGAGAAAAGAAATACATGACTCGCAAATATAGCCAGGATATGCGAGATCAAAGAAAATCATATATACCTATTAGGGACCGAGAGGTTTTAGATTACATGCTATTTTTAAAAGCTGGAGGCTGTGTGGCTTGTTGGTAAGAAAAAGTCAAAAAGAGAAAGAGAGGAACTGTTTGCTTCTCTCTCTTCTCTCTCTCTCTCTAAGACTATCCTACAGCGCACAGAAAGAAGCTTACGTACTCTAAGTACTTTCCAGTCTAAAATAAAAGGTCCACAGTGCAATAAAGATAGTTTAGAGAAAAGAAATACATGATTCGCAAATATAGCCAGGATATGCGAGATCAAAGAAAATCATATATACCTATTAGGGACCGAGAGGTTTTAGATTACATGCTATTTTTACTCTCTCTCTCTCTCTCTTCTCTGTGTGTGTGTGTGTGTGTGTGTGTGTGTGTGTGTGTGTGTGTGTGTGTGGTGTGCGTGTGTGTTAGTGTATGTGTGTGTGTGTGTGTGTGTATGTATGTGTGTGTGTGCATGTGTGTGTGTGTGTGTGTGTGTGTGTGTGTGTGTGTGTGTGTGTGTGTGTGTGTGTGTGTGTGTGTGTTTCTCTCTCTCTCTCTCTCTCTCTCTCTCTCTCTCTCTCTCTCTCTCTCTCTCTCTCTCTCTCTCTCTCTCTCTCTCCCTCTCTCTCTCTAAGACTATCCTACAGCGCACAGAAAGAAGCTTACGTACTCTAAGTACTTTCCAGTCTAAAATAAAAGGTCCACAGTGCAATAAAGATAGTTTAGAGAAAAGAAATACATGACTCGCAAATATAGCCAGGATATGCGAGATCAAAGAAAATCATATATACCTATTAGGGACCGAGAGGTTTTAGATTACATGCTATTTTTAAAAGCTGGAGGCTGTGTGGCTTGTTGGTAAGAAAAAGTCAAAAAGAGAAAGAGAGGAACTGTTTGCTTCTCTCTCTTTCTCACTCTCATTCGTGTGTTCTCTCTCGTTCTCTTTCTCTTTCTGACTTTTAATCGCGTATTCTTTCTTTATTTTTTTTCTTGACTGACTTATTCGCGTGTTCTCTCTCTTTATTTCTCTTTTTCTTGTGTTCGTTTTTTCTCTCTCTCTTTCGATTTCTAGTCTCTCTATAAATATTTATCTCTTTCTCTTTCTTTCTCTCTCTATATCTATCTATCTATCTAGTTTTCATTCTTTCTTTCATTCTTTCTCGTTCTCTATCTCTCTCTTTTTTTCTCACTCTCTTTTCACTCTATTCTCTCTTTCCGTCCCTCTCATTCCTCTCCTCCCTTTCCCTCTTTCTCTCTTCTTTCCCTTCTCCCTCTCCTTGCTCTCCCTATCCTTCTCATCCATATCCCTCTCCTTCTTCATTTCTTCCCTCGCTCTTTCCTTCTCCCTCTCCCTCTCTTCTTTTCCCTCTCCCTCTCCCTCCTCTCACTTCCTTTTTCTCTCCCTCTTCCTCTTTCTCTCCCTCTTCCTCTTCCTCTTCCTTTCCCTTTTCCTCCTCCTCTTCCTTCTCTCTTCCCTCTCCCTCCTCTCTTCCCTCTCCCTCTTCCTCTCCCTCTTCCTCTTCCTCTCCCTCTCCCTCTCCCACTCCCTCTCCCTCTCCTCCTTCCTCTCTTCCCTTCCTCTTCCTCTTCCTTTTCCTTCTCCTTTCCCTCTCCTTCCTTTCTTCCCTCTTTTCCTTCTTTTCTCTCTCCCCACTCTCTCCCCCTCGACATGCCCGTCTCTTTTTTAGCTCATTAGTGAACATGAAAGTTATGTTCAGTCTCCCCTTCTTTCGTCATCATCCAGGAGAATTAAATTAATTGTGATCCAGAATTTGTTTGTCTCCGCGATCTCTTGTGTTTGTGAAAAGACCTAAATTGAATGAAACCAGTTTGTTTTTGTTTTTTTCTTTTTCGTTTCTAAACATCAGACTATTTTTAATTATTTCCATTTTACGTAAACAGTGGAAAATGTAACCACCGTATTATAGACTTATTACTTACAAAGCTAATTCGAAACGGGTGAACTTACTTTTAGATAAAGTAGATTCATCTCATTAAGTTGGATCCTATGACTTCAAGTTCACAAAGAACCTAAGAACAAGTTGAATAGTTTAGTTAAGATAAGTAGAGTGTTATAAATACCTAATCGTATTCATATCCCAACTTATCAGGTTACTTATACTAGACTTATCTAAGTGTTACGGCTGGACTAAACCTACTCTAAAGGCTAAACTGAATTGAGGGTTGAGAATGAACAAAGGAAATTATTAAGATCATAATAAATAAATTCTTTAGACAGGCTTAAGACCGGTATTGCGGTCAGATTAAGCGATCTCTTAAGACATAAACAAGCATTTCTTAAGACCGAAGGTAAGTTGACTCTGAAAACTAGACTAAGGTAACTTTTAAGACCAGGCTAAGCTAAATCTTAAGTCTAGACTGAGTAGATTTAAGATCAATCTAATGTCATTTATAAGACCAGACTTAAGTCAACTCTTAAGACCGAACTTAACAAAATCTTAAGTCCAGACTCTTAAGACCAAACTAAATTCATTCCTAAGACCAGGCTAAGTCAACTCTTAAGACCAAGCTAAGTCAACTCTTAAAACCAGACTCTTAAGACCAAACTAACCTGAAACAACGCTACGAAGGAATACATAACACTTAGGAAAAAAAAAGTGTTGCCAACACTGCTGAATCATGTAACCTTCCCACCTCCATTATTTAGAACGACACCCTCTTGCCACGCCCGATTAAAGCGGTTGGATTATATAATAGGTGACGGGTAATTCGGCAGCCATTGAATTATATGCCAATTATGTATATATCATCCCCCTCCCTTTCCCCATCCCCTTCCCCATCCCCTTCCCCTTCCCATCCTCTATCCTTTGTTTTATATTCAAATCTGATAAATGTGATCTTTATGCATATTTCTTTTTTACGTATTTTGGTATAGTGGTTTATATTATGTACTGGTCTTACGTGACGTAATGAAATAACTTGAGCGTTTAATTAAAAAGAAACACGCCCAGAAGCAGAATTTTTTAACCGTTTGTTAGGTTTAGCCCATGGGACGTTGTAAAAAAATATATATATAATATATATATATATACATATATATATATATATATATATATATATATATATATATATATATATACATACATATATATATATATATATATATATATATATATATATATATATATATATACATACATATATATATATATATATATATATATATATATATATATATATATATATATACATACATATATATATATATATATATATATATATATATATATATATATATATATATATATATATATATATGAATTATCTGATAAGAATACCAAATATTGATTATGAGATATTTTTTTCAAATACTGAATGAATATGATGATTGAGACATCGAAATAAATTGAAATAATAGATAAAATCTAATTCGATACTTCTTTTTTCAGGTAGAGGATGACCGGTCTGACAAGAATGAGTTCCAGGCCCGAATTGCTCTCATGCAACAGACCAAGGTAAGAAACGGGAAGGAAAAGTGAGATTAAAAGAATCGATAAACGGGGGGTAGGGGTGAGGGTGGGGGGGAGGAGAAACATAAGAGCAGTATTATAAGTATATCGTGGATTCGTCTCATTATTCTTGTTATTTGAGAAGACATAAAAGTTTTTGTTTTTTGCTTTTTGTGCTAACGAGGATAAGTATTTCGTAATCTTTTCTCCATTTCTTGTGGTACCTCATGAGTTTCGAAAGGAATACATTTCTTCTTTTTAGCGGAGCTCTTAGTAAAATGATCTCTAAAGATATTTTAAATTTTATTCAGCTCTCAGCATAAACTAATGCAGGGAATCCTGAAATTAAAATGTTTGAATTAACGAGGTATGCACATTTCACTATCTCTTTCCCATTTTCTTTAATGTCACTTCTTCCTATTTTTTATGATAACTGTTCCCATTTTTTATAATAACTGTTCCCATTTTCTATAACTGTTCTCATTTTCTATAACTGTTCTCATTTTCTATAACTGTTCCCATTTTCTATAACTGTTCCCATTTTCTATAATACTGTTCCCATTTTCTATAACTGTTCTCATTATCTATAACTGTTCTCATTTTCTATAATAAAGGTTCCCATTTTCTATAATAAATGTTCCATTTTCTATAATAAATGTTCCCATTTTCTATAATAACTGACCACATTTTCTTTAATACCACGTCTTCCCATTTTCTTTAATAACACGTCTTCCCATTTTCTATAATAACACTTCTCGTTTAAATACCACTTTCCATTTTCTTTAATACAGGTGACTAAAACAAAGAAAACGGGTGTAGTGAAAGGCACCGACTCGCCTTCCTTCTACGAGAGTTTTAACTTCAAGGTGGCACCAGATGCCCTCGACACAACTGCAGTGTGTGTTACTGTCACTGTCGGGAAAAAATCTGGTAAGTTAATATTACTTTCGCTAAAATGTCTGCGAGGATGAGAGCATCTTCGGAATTAAGAAATATTTGTGTGTTGGTGTTGTAGAAATTGATATGTGCATTTTTAACTATACGAACAAGATGCCTGGCACAATTAGTGTAGATTGTGAGAGTTTATATCGGTTTACATTATTAATCCTTCAAGATAGTGTAATACTGTATGGTAATTATGGCTGTTTTTAATTATCTCAGCTAAATTACGTTGCTAAAATTATTCTTACAGTACAGGATTTTCGTTGGAATTTTTTAAAAAATAATAATAATTATAGATCGAAGGGATGACTCAGGAATGCCACATTTACCTCTAAAGTCAGATAACGATGGATATAATAATTAACATCAGAAACATAAATTATTTTCACTGCTTTATAAACTTACGATCTTGTTTTCCAACACTAACTACATTTCGTTCTGACCCAGATAAGACAACGACTATATATATTGTTTTTTTAATCTCAAGCATTAAACACGCTTCATTTTGTTCTGCATAATTTGTTAATTATAAATAACTCGTCTTTCTTTCAGATAACGTAGTGGGTCGCGTCCAGCTGGGTTCCTTCATGTTCTCCCGCGGGAAGGCACTGGAGCACTGGGATCAGATGGTGGCCAGAAAGAGGGAGCATGTCAAGCAGTGGCACACGCTCTCTTAGGTTCCCCTCTCCTCTCGTAGGCTCTGTGTTTTCTGGTCTTTTTTTTTTTTTAGTCTGCCCTCTCTTCCTTTTCCTTATCTTCATCTTCGTTCTCTTTCTTCTATGCCTCTTTCTTCTTTTCCTTCTCCTTCTATTCATCCTCTTCCTTTCCTCCTCCTTCACTTCCTCTTCCCCTTCCTCTTTCTCTTTCTCTTCCTTTTCCCCCTCTTCCTTCTTCCTCTTCCTCCTCCTTCACCTCCTCTTACCCTTCCTCTTCCCCTTCCTCTTCCTCCTCTTCCTCCTCCTCCTCCTTCACCTGCTCTTCCCCTTCCTCCTCTTCTTTCTCTCTCCCCTCTTCCTCCTTCCTCTTCCTCCTCCTTCACTTCGTCTTCCCCTTCCTCTTCCCCTTCCTCTTCCTCCTCTTTCTCTTCCCCTCTTCTTCCTTCCTCTTCCTCCTCCTTCACCTTCTCTTCCCCTTCCTCTTCCTCCTCCCCTTCTTCCTTCCTCTTCCTCCTCCACCGATCAAACCGGGACACACATCCTCTGTTAAAATTGCTCTCTCACTTAATCCTCTCCAGACCCTCCTCTCTCCTATCCACTTTGCAGTCTCCCCGCTCTCGTCTAGGCCTCCCTCTGCCTTCGTGTCTTAGGGAATGTTGAATTAATCCCTCCTTGTGAAGGATTATGAAGTCTTTTGCAGGCTTCCCTGTTCTTGATTCCCCTTTCTCTTTCTTTTTTCTCTTTCCCTTTCCATTTTCCTCTTCATCTCCCTCTCCTTTTTTTCTCTCACTCTCTCTCGCCCTTTTCCTTACCCTCCCCCTCTCCATCCCCCCTTCACCTCCCTCTCCCTCTCCCTCTCTCTCTTTCCCTCTTCCTCTGCCTCTCCCTCTTCTTCTTCCTCTCCCTTTCCCTCTCCCTTTCCCTCTCCCTCTCCCTCTCCCTCTCCTCTCCCTCTCCCTCTCCTCTCCTCTCCTCTCCTCTCCCTCACCCTCTCCCTCTCCCTCTTCTTTTCCTTCTACCTCTCCCTCTCCCTTTCCCTCTCCCTTTTCCTCTCCCTCTCCCACTCCCTCTCCCTTTCCCTCTCCCTTTCCCTCTTCCTCTTCCTCTCCCTCTCCCTCTCCCTCTCCCTCTCCCTCTCCCTCTCCCTCTCCCTCTCCCTCTTCCTCTCCCTCTCCCTCTCCCTCTCCCTTTCCCTTTCTCTCTCCCTTTTCTTCTCCTTCTCCCTTTTCACTTCCTTTCACACACCCTTGGTTTCAGCCACAAAATCACACTAAAAGGCCTTTTAAATTAAACATGACTTTCATGTTTTCTTCATTAATCGATATTTATTTTAAAAGAGGACTTTATGGTTCTACTTCTGAGACATGCGCGCAAACGTACACACGTGCGTGCGTGCGTGTGTGCGTGCGTGCTGTCATTCCAGTATTTGCTACATATTTCTTCAAGGCTCTTCTATTCTATTTCAATAGCTTTACTCCCCTTCCTTTGTTTCCTTCCTCAAGAAATCCTCTCTTTGAAATTTGTCTAGTTGTTGAGCTCTAACCTAGTACTAAAATGTTATATGATCGCTATTTGCTAATATATTCTGACATGGAAAGTTATGTATGATGCATCATGTTCTTTGAAAGGTGACACATTATCAATTTTGTTATCTACTTCGTACACATGTCTTGCAAACTAGAAATCTAACTTTATTTAAGTTTCCCCTTCAGTATGTGCCATCTTCTGTAACATACTAATCATAGAAAATAAGACAAAGGGGATAACAATTTTATTTTCAAACTATAACGTTTGTTTTAAAGTTTCCAGAAATAATACACCTTTAACCTTATCAAGGATTTGATTTACTGCTTGTTTATAATCATCTTATGTCCTTGTTTTTCTTTTCCTTGTTTTTTCCTCTCCCGTCACGTTTTGAGGGTCCTGACTCACCTCCAACTCCCCCTTAAAGTTCTAGATAATGTAAATCTCTAAAATATATATCTGTGACGTTACTACTCCGCCCTCAGATCTTTGGGATATGAGAGGCCACGAGTAGATTATTTTTACCACTGAAATCTGCCTTCAGAATACCTTAACTTAGATGTAGTTGTATTCTACATATAACAGAGATTGTGTGTATTCTTACCTGTATTTTTCAAGTGTATATGGAAAGATGTATCTGATATATAAGATTTTAAAAAAAGCTATTCGTGATCCAGAATATTCAGGTGTTAAGTGTTGGCAATTGTTTACAAGTTTGTTTGTTTTTTATTTATTGTTTTATCATCATACATGTTTTGAAAATCCACACTTTGGTGGGCCGTTGTGTGCAGCAATTTCTTCAGTCGGATTTACTCATCATTGTAATATTTTGATACTGATTGCGTAGCAGATTGTGTCGATGTTTGTCTGTATGCTCAATGTACGTATTTCTCATCTTTACGTTTCGGTTCATTTACCTAAACCTTTTCCGCTGCGTCGACCGAACGCCATTGAACAGAAGCTTTATTGTTGTTTGAAACGCACAGTACTCACTCCGGTCATGGCGCATTTGTTCTCACCAGGTATGCCTACCAGATAGCTCTTGGTCTTAGGCCTCAATTATAGTCTTATAGGCCTGTCCAAGAGTCCTTATTTTGTATCGCTTATATGAGGTATGCGATCCATTTGATATGTGATTCATTGTCATGTGTATAACGCTATTGGACAGGGAAATGGAGATCCTTTGGCATTAGGACACATTTATCTTTAAGGCTAAGATAATTATAGATGTGCAGATGACACTGTAAAAGGTTCATTCTAACGGGTTCTTTTTAGAAGGAGGG